GACCTCTAGTATTTTTTTTGAAGCACAGTGCTATGTGGAGGTCATACAAAGGCGTCACGGATGAGGCTTGTCCTGAGGGGATTAGGGAGAATAATACGCTTTTTGGAAAAGGGGGGAAAAAAAATACATTCTGGCTTTCTGCTGGAGCGGATCTCTGCAGGGAGAGGCTGCTCTCTGTGCTCTCAGGAGCCTGGAGTTACTTACTGAGGGCACACGCTCTGCAAACCCCCACGATCCTGCTGTTAGAACAGTGTCAGCTCTGCGTGTGGGTTGTTTCTTATAGTGCTTTGTTTACAAATATTCTTACGCATCTGCTTTTTTTTTTTTTTTTTTTGGTGAGAAATGAAGAAGCAGCTCCTTATTTTTTTTGGAGGGGTGAAATGCCGAACAGTGTTCTCTCTTGGCTTGACTGAATTTTGGGAGAGCACTAGAAATGCCAGGCGTTTACGCCGCCTTTGCGGAGCAGACGCCGTGTTGTGCGTGCGCGGTCGCCTCGGGCAGAGCACACGCCAATGTGCTTCTATGGGCATAAAAGGAGCTGCAAAAACACGAGTGCCAGTGACCTCCCAGCACACCGACTGGCCCTGCACCTATTTTGGGCTCCGTTCCTTCCTGCTGAAGATGCAGCAGTGGTTAAGTGATGGGTAGTGGCCATTCCACGTATAGTGGTGCGTGGGATCTGCTTAATCATCTCATGAATAGCTCGCCACCAGCTAACTCCATCCCTCCCCTGACCTAGATTACTCGGAGTTGCTTTGATTCACCCTCAGAAAACAGCTCAGCTCTGCTGGATTGCATCCCAGGCCGTGCTTAAAAAACTGCTGAGCACCAGGGCTGGACAGGGGAAGAGGCTGGATGGCACCTGGGAGTGGGAAGGTGCAGAGGGAAGGTCCTCTCCCCTCTCACGGCCAAGCTGTGGGCTTGACTAGGGTGTCCTGGGCAACTTCAGCCCAAATCTTCACCAGTTGGCTTCGGATTGATGTTGGCGGGAGAGTGTCTCCAAGCGCGGGGCAATAACTGGCAGCGTGAGTTAACTGGTGGCTGGGAGCTCACGTCTGTGCTGCTTCATTGCCGTACCGAGTTGTGGCTCTGGGAGCTCGGAGCTTCCAAATGAGGCAGGATTCTTGCCTGGTTGAAAAAGACAGACCTTTAGGGGAACTTTAATGAAAATATTTACGTTTCTTTAAACCTGAGGTGTTTGCAGTGGGTTTGGCTCTCGGGGCCGTACACTTGACTGCTCTGAACATGTACTGAGGTTGCTGTCACCCCGCGGCACAAGCAGAGCCCTTTGGGAGCTGTGGCCGTGCAGAAATTGAGACCCCATGAGCTTCCAACACTACGAGGGCTCAGACCGCCCCGTCCACCCGTGTAACTCTCCCCCAGCACCTTGCTCCAGCCCTGAAATACCAGCACCTGTGGGGCAGCAGGGTGTGAGGGGCTGGGCTGGCTCCTTGCTGGTGTGTAATTGCCCTTCTCGAGCTCTTTGCTGAAGGACAAAGCAGACAAACAGCCCAAATCCTGGCAGGAGCCCAGCGTGGGCAGGCTGCGGCATGGCACAATGGCACACGCAGGGCGCAGCGGGGCTGGGGCGTGGAGGCCGTGTTGGGCCCCACTTGGGGCTCTGCTTTGGGGCACTCGTGTTGCCGGTCGAAAGGCAGCGTGGCAGTGGGGGGATGCAACCTGTC